CAACCCACACACACACACACACACACACACACAACACACACACACACACAACACACACACACATATCATGGAATTGTAACACAGCGGAATCACAGACATTCCGGCTCCAAGAGAGTTTATCAAATTAAAGGAATGTTCCGGGTTAAACATGAGTTAAGCTTTATCAACAGCATTTGTGGCATCATGTTGAAAATAATAACAACAAATATATCACTAGCTATCAATGTATAATTTAAAACTTGTTTACTTAAAATTCAAATATATACAAGAACTGTTATTAGAAACACAGGACTGTAGTTGATTTAGAGTGTAGGGCAGGGTTATCATTGTTAACTAAAAGCATTACAAATAAAACATTTAAAATAAAAAGTTATCTGAAATAAAATAAGTGTTAACCAAAATAAAATATTTAAAAATATATATAATTTTTTTTGCACCAAAATTAACTTTTTATTCCCAAGGCATTTCTTATTTTCGGTAAAGCACCAAAACATAATGAAACAAAAAAAAAAAAACCTTAATCAAATCAAATAAAAATAAATAAATAAAATAATGCAATAAAATACAACAAAAACGAATAAAATAATAAAAACAAAACTACTAAAACTTTAATGAAAATTTAAATTTAAAACAAAATAATCTAAAAAATAAAATTAATATATACATACTTCTGTAATTACCACATTTGATTATTTTAGTCTCATATATAACACTGTATGTGGGCTTATGAAAGTGGGCGGCCATGATGGCCTTTTCTGCGGTATTCTACCTCATCTCAAACAGTTGGGGTCATGAAAGAGGCCTTTAGTTCAACGAAGTGTGAGAAATCCTGGTCTAAAGAAAAATAAAATCTTGGATTCTCCGAACCGCTGTAAATAATGAAGCCGGCTGCTCTCCTGAAGCAAAATCAGACTTCATAGTATTCCTAATGCCACTACCCCGGCTTTTTTTGGGGCGTATTAAATTTTTAGACTAGCGAACGCCTCCTCTTTCTCTCGGCTCTGTGCACAGCTAGTTCATTAGCAGAAATGAATAGCGAAGAAGTGCTCATTTAGATGGTCTGTCTTCCATGGGCTCTCACACTCCTATGTTTCTGTCATACGCTTCTAAGAATCATTGACACTTATTACACATGTAAATGGCTATCATAAAAATAAAAATTTCATTTAAGATTCTTAATGACTTGAGCAGCAGCCTGGCCTCCCTTAATGATTACCTCTCTCCCTCATTAAGAGTATTTATCTCTCACACTCACACACCCACAACACACACACACACACAACACACACACACATATTATCATGGAATTGTAACACAGCGGAATCACAGACATTCCGGCTCCAAGAGAGTTTATCAAATTAAAGGAATGTTCTGGGTTAAACATGAGTTAAGCTTTATCAACAGCATTTGTGGCATCATGTTGAAAATAATAACAACAAATATATCACTTGCTATCAATGTATAATTTAAAACTTGTTTACTTAAAATTCAAATATATACAAGAACTGTTATTAGAAACACAGGACTGTAGTTGATTTAGAGTGTAGGGCAGGGTTATCATTGTTAACTAAAAGCATTACAAATAAAACATTTAAAATAAAAAGTTATCTGAAATAAAATAAGTGTTAACCAAAATAAAATATTTAAAAATATATATAATTTTTTTTGCACCAAAATTAACTTTTTATTCCCAAGGCATTTCTTATTTTCGGTAAAGCACCAAAACATAATGAAACAAAAAAAAAAAACCTTAATCAAATCAAATAAAAATAAATAAATAAAATAATGCAATAAAATACAACAAAAACGAATAAAATAATAAAAACAAAACTACTAAAACTTTAATGAAAATTTAAATTTAAAACAAAATAATCTAAAAAATAAAATTAATATATACATACTTCTGTAATTACCACATTTGATTATTTTAGTCTCATATATAACACTGTATGTGGGCTTATGAAAGTGGGCGGCCATGATGGCCTTTTCTGCGGTATTCTACCTCATCTCAAACAGTTGGGGTCATGAAAGAGGCCTTTAGTTCAACGAAGTGTGAGAAATCCTGGTCTAAAGAAAAATAAAATCTTGGATTCTCTGAACCGCTGTAAATAATGAAGCCGGCTGCTCTCCTGAAGCAAAATCAGACTTCATAGTATTCCTAATGCCACTACCCCGGCTTTTTTTGGGGCGTATTAAATTTTTAGACTAGCGAACGCCTCCTCTTTCTCTCGGCTCTGTGCACAGCTAGTTCATTAGCAGAAATGAATAGCGAAGAAGTGCTCATTTAGATGGTCTGTCTTCCATGGGCTCTCACACTCCTATGTTTCTGTCATACGCTTCTAAGAATCATTGACACTTATTACACATGTAAATGGCTATCATAAAAATAAAAATTTCATTTAAGATTCTTAATGACTTGAGCAGCAGCCTGGCCTCCCTTAATGATTACCTCTCTCCCTCATTAAGAGTATTTATCTCTCTGCGTCTCTGACTGCGCCTCCCGCACCAATGATGCTTGCAGGAGGAAAGCGGGAGCCGCGTTTACACGGACACGCGGCACTCTGCTATTACTGCAATTACCAATGATGCTCCGCAAACCGGGTGGAATGCGCCTACAACAATTACAGGCAGAAACGGGTCTTATGTGATAATTAAAGGGAAGCGTTCTGCTGTAGTTGCACTGGAAGTGAGAGCAGGCTTCAACAAAATATCAGGGACAACATACAGAGGAGAGGGGTGTGTCTAAAATGTAATGGGCGTGGCTACACGAGGAGGGGTGGGTCTAAGAGGACAGAGGGTGTGTCTAAGAGAATATATGCATGACTAAGAGAGAACGGGGTGTGTCTATGATAAGATGGGCATGTCTAAGAGAAGAGAGAGTATGTCTAAGGGGAGAGAGGGTGTGTCTAAGAGAAGGTGTAACTAAGAGAAAGGGGGGTCTAATATAATAAAGGGTGTGTCTACGGAATGGTTATGAGATGATGGGGTGTGTCTAAGAGAAGATGCATGTGACTAAGGGAGGAGGGGGTGTGTCTAAGATAAGATGTGCACGTCTAAGATAAAATAGGGTGTGTCTTAGTGAAGATGGGTGTGTCTAAGATACGAGAGGGTGTGTCTTTGATTAAAGGCACGTGTTTTCGTAAAGGAAGTGGGCGGAACTCACCGGTACCATCGACTGATGTACTGATCAAGTCGTTTTCGTGCCAGACGTTCTCTATTCCACTGTCCTTCATATCATCTTCATCATCCACAGTCTTCCTCAGCAGTGTGTGACCCAGGGTCGGGGAGGGCGGGGCCACGGACTCTTGATTGACAAGGCTGACTGGACTCACCGCCCCATTGATCAAGCCGTCCTCCTCCGATACCAGAAGTCTGTCCTCTTCCTCCGTCTCTGATCCGGTTTCTACAACGTTCTCAAAGTCCAACACTGCCAAATAAACACATAGACACACAGATGATCAATACTACGGATTATTACACTGAGCTTGTCCATGTATGTGAATCATAACTGAGAACTCCATTAGGATTGCTAAACTATGAAAGAGCGTAAAACTCCTCCGGGATGAGTTAATAAAGAAAGGCCTTATATTTATTTTCATCTGTGCATTCTTTAGTTTTGGTGAGCGAGAGTATGCCAGCACACACACACACAGCACAGTCTATCTTAACATTCCCCTGTGGACAAAAAGATTACACTAGGCATATCTGTTCCTAACATGATCTTTGGCTAATCCACTGGTCTGCACTTGCCTTCCGAACAACTGCACAACAGGTGCAAATTAAAATGAAAACGGTGCATGTGTGTGCGTATGTGACCTGGGCTGAATACCAATTGACAGGGGAAACAAAACCTTTTCAAGAGGTGTGACCACAAGGGTTTAGGCAAGTTCAGACTGAGTAATGCTCTCCGTGAGAGAAAGAACCCAAGAAAAGAGACAGAGAAAGAGGGAGGGAGGATATAAGAATAGAAAAGCCAAAAGAATAAGTGAGACATTCAGACTTGATGTGTGGTCCAGATATACCTTCAACACATTTACATTCAAAACACCCTTCACACGCCCAGCGACCGGACGCAATATTTCTGGACAGACTGCCGGTGCTGGAACACTTCCACGAGTCTGATCGCAGAAAAGACGGTTCTGGAGCGAAAATATGGGCTTTAAATTGGCTCACAAATCAGAAGTTTTCAAAACAACAATTGCTTGACAAAACTTAAATAATTAGATTGATTCGACTCCACCCACACTAAAATAAACTGCATTGTTTACAGTGAATTCATTGTTTTCTTGGGGTTTGGGGTCAGTAAGATTTTTTTTGTAAGAAATTAATATATTGATTCATCATTAATGCATTCCATTGATCAAAAGTGACAGTAAAGCCATTTCTAATGTTACAATATAATTCTATTTCAAATATGCTGAAAATACAGCTGCGCATCACAGAAATACATTACAGTTTAACATATACTCACATAGAAAATAGCTGTTTTAAACTGAAATAATATTTCACAATTTTGCTGTTTTAACTGTATATTTGATCAAATAAATGCAGCCAGATGATACTTATTTCAAAAACATTACAGATTTGTGCCATCCTCAAAACTTCTGAACAGCAGTGTTCATTTAAATAACTTCTGACCATCTCATCAGAGCAATTTGTGATGGCACAAAGACATTTGGATGTTATAATAAGTTCTCAAAATGAGTTCATGAACAGGTTACGGAAAATGGTTAAGAGAGACAGAAGGAGAGAAAGACAGAGCAGCGAGCGAGAGAGAGAGAGAGAGTGTTCCTACAAAGTAGAAATGACATCTTGAGAAGTTAAAAACAAAATCCGTCAACTTTGTACTCGCTGCTGGAAGACTTGAAAAGGCCGATAAATAATGATGGGTTGGGTGCAACTTCAGATTGAGTAAAAACTCTGGAGCGAGAGCATTGTTTGGCTGACAGACAGCCTATCACACGCCGGTATTGTGCTCTTCAACACAATAATTCCAACCTGCTAATGTCACGGCAGCCATTACAGTGATTCCTCACCTCATCTCTAATCAGTCTTTTGTGTTTCCAGAGCGCAGACACAAAGAAACGATAATGTTTACTTGCCGGCTAAGTTCTCCTCTGATGACACTCTCTATTCGTCGGCGTCTTCTGCGAGTGTCAAAGGGAACAAAGGCGATTACGGCTGCCATTCTCGCGCTGATGCTACCTGCTCCTCTGCTTTTGATTTCAAACAAATAAAGGGAACATCTCTCACTCCGATGCCACAGATAATTAAAATGACATTCCTAATTGCCCCAGTCACCGTTAATGTTGGGCTTAACCTAGGCTTGTCATTTCTGCGGCTGATAATCGCAGGGCCGCGCGAGACGGTATTGATTCTGATGCTTTCTCCACGCAAACACACATTTAGACGACTACAAACTGGAGGAACTTAATCAGAGATGTTAAAAGTGTGACAAAACCAGCTACAGAACTATTTTCACTCTTAAAAAAGCACATTTAAAAGAGTATTTCTCTTCTGGCAAAACTGCACAAAAATCATCCAAAATCACCCAATTTTTTTGTTCAAAGAAAACCTCCGTAAAATGAATTCAGGGTTTTTATAGTTAACTACATCTAAAACCATTAAAAATAAACCATTGAAATAAAATGTTAACTGACGATAAATTATATATATACAAACTATAATAGTGTATTGATACTAAAATAACAGTGGCATCTGGCATAACATAATGTGAAGAAATGTAGTTACGAAAAGAACAAGTGACAATCCTTGATATTCCTCGCCTCAACTACCTGCTTAAAAAAGGAAAAGTGTCCTGAAAACTGTGCTCATTAAACCACAAATTCTGTCCGTTTGTTCCTAAAGAAAGAGCTTCATGTTGCTCCAGTCATCATCCACTGTTTACAATCCACTGGTTTCTCATGTCAACTGCACACAGGCCTCAAAACTAGACAAAAGGTATCCTGCTTTCATTAAATTCAGTCCAGTAACCCACACGAGTCTGAAGAGTTCAGTACCTCTGTGAAATTCCCAAAGTGCTCCAGGGTGGGTTTCTCTCTCGCTGCGTCACAAGCTCAACCTGAGGGTCTCAAAGCGGTCTGGCACAGACACACAGCCTCTAGACGAGCCCAGAGACGAGCCTGTGGCCCTGACGCTGTGTGTGTGTGTGTGTGCGTGTGTGTGTGTGGAGGTGACAGACTCCCCGCAGGTAAGTCAGCGCTCGAGTCGTCAGGGCTAATGGGAGGAGACGTGAAGCGTGCTGAAGATAACCAGCCCTCCGCATGCAGATCACCTGAACACCTCCGGTGCGAGTGTTTGAGCTCCAATAATAGATTTGAACGCTCACATTTTGCCTTTCACTTCAGGTTTAGGAGCTTGATTGCAAAAGCCAATGATAATCTGTCTGGGAAATGTCTGATAATAATCTGTCAAGGTTCAATTTGTTAAAATTAGTCAAGTACAGTAGTTAACGTTAACTCCTAAAGCATGTTAATTAGTTAATGTTAATTAAAAGTGGTATCTGTTAATATTATTTAATGGACCTGAGCTAACATGAACAATGAACAGTTGTATTTTTTATTAACTAATAAAAACCGTAACAAATGTTTTGCTCGTTGTTAGTTAATGCATAGTAACAGGACCCCAATTACCATAGCTATCCAATTTTCTTTACACTTTAACTGTTTGCTTTTATGTCCATGGATTGTTTTCATATGAAACTCTTCCAGGCTGATATGGGGGTTTTGGGGAAGCCGTGCAACGCCTCAAGAAAAAAAGAAAGAGAAAGAGAGCGAAAGACGAAAAGGGGGTGGTGTGGCGAAGAGAAAGGGACAGAAGGGCAGCAGCCGAGAGCGAACAAAAGACGAGTGAAAGAGTGAAGCAGCTTTGAGAGGCCAGTGAACGGAGAAACTCAGCGATGTGTAAAGCAACTCCTGTGTCTGTGTGCGGATCCAGGACGGCCCGAGTGGGTGTGTTTCAGGAAGGAGGGTGGATATGTTTAATCATTTCTGAGGTGAGGCCGCCACAGTAGCCGGACTCTAGTTGAATTAAAGTCCCATTTATTTGCCCGAGCAACAGGCTGGAAAGCCTGAAGGTTCGGCTCGGCCCGGCCCGGCTCGCTTCCACCATCTGTGCTTCTCCGGGTCGCCCCCCTCTCGATCCATGAGCCAATGCAAAAAAACACATGCACACAAAAGATCTCTTGCCCACCCCGGGACAAATGACACAAGAAAATCTGTGTGCACAGGGCAACAATACAGAAAACCCAGAGCCAGTGTGAGTGAGACTCGGCAGAACTGACTGAAGACACATCAGTGCATCTTAAAAATAACATACACATGATTTATGGTATGTATAGAACACTTTTGCGAATTGGGCCAAATCAAGTAATCAGGTGCTTTTACTGAATGATATAAATGAGGATTTTTTTTTTTTATTTGTTGCAAAATACTGCCAACCAGCTCTTTATGTAAAGTTGTATATATAAGTATGTCCAACTTTATACATACACTATACTTGCATAGGGCGATATACTGTATATTATATAGCAAATTTCAACTGCTTGATTGTTCATATCTTCGCAAAATACGACTGTATTATTGTCCAGCTCTAATCTGATAAATGCAACCAGGCATGAAGATATTAACCTATTATAAACATTATTAACATCATGATTTTTCTGTAAAGCTGCTTTGAAACAATGCGTGTTGTGAAAAGCGTTATATAAATAAACTTGACTTGACATGAAAATTATAAAGCATTCAATATACTCTTTTCAACCAGGTTGCTCATCAAATATTGATGCAACTCCAAAAAAGTCCTCAGCTGTGATCGCTTTAGTGCGTCTTTGACTGCAGCTGATCTCTGAGCGCTGTTAAAACATTCATTCAAGTACACACACACAGACACAGGAGCCTTTCACTGGTGTTTACCTGAAAAACACACGTCCAGACTGATGCGCAAGAATCAAACGTGTCACACAAAGGCATCTCGAGTTATCAGTAGAGTTACATGAACCTGCAGCTACTCATCATTTAAAGTGGTTAAACTACAATTAAAAGTCCCTTTACAAGTAGTCCATTCAACTATACAGGGCTAACTAACGTGAAGCTATTTAAGTGATGCATGTCTATTTCATTATATGAAAGAGTTTAGAATGTATTTTTACAATCACAGCAGGGACAGCGTCACAGCTAAAAAGGAACGTTTTCAGAAATGTGTCTGAGCAAATGTTCTTCCAGTAGCGTTAATAGAACGTTCGTCCAGAGTTATCTGGTCCTTAATAATGTTCTCAAAATGTTAGCACATTAAACATCATTCGTGGAATGTTTCATTTCTGAAACATTTTAGTTGGAACTTGTTTTTTTGTTTTTTAAATGTTACTACTTGTTTCAGAATGTTCAGAGGACATTTAAATGTAACATTCCC